ACATGGGGCTAGCCAGGGAGCCAGGAAAGCCTGGATTCAAATCTTGTCTCTGTAATGTGCTAGCTGTATTGGCTTTCTGGTTGTTCAGTTGTATCTGACTCTTCATGACTCCATTGGGGGTTTTCTTGGCAAGGATACTGGACTGGTTTGCCATTTCCTTCTCCAGCTCATTTTACAGATGAAGAAATGGAGGCAAACAGGGTTGTGACTTGCCCAGGGTCACACAGCTAGTGAGTGCCTGGGGCCGGCTTTGAATTTAGGAAGAAGAAATCTTTCTGACTCTAGGCCCAGCACTCTATCCGCTGTGCCACCTAGCTGCCCTTGTGACCTTGGATTATTGACTTTGGATGTCACTTAATCCCCATTGCTTCTTGAACAAATTATTGAAAAATCATTTATTAAGTGTTGGAGATAAAGATGAGAACAATTCCCATTCTCAAGGAGCTCCCATTACAACAGGGAGAGACAACAATTACAGGGTAGTCCAGCTGAAGGCCCAGGTCTCCCACTGCACCAGGGCCATCTCCAGTCGTCTTGATCTATATCTTGCCACTGGACCCAGATGGCTCTGGAGGAGAAAATGAGGCTGGTGACTTTGCACAGCCCTTCTCACTTGAATCCAATTCACTGGCAAGTCATGGCATCACCTCCCTGATGTCATGGTCCTCTTAGGGAATGAAGGACAAAAAACAACAAGATGGAAAGGTCCAGTGGTTCTTGGGGTGCATCCACCAGACAAATGGTAATACACTTTCTTTAGCATCATTTCCGCTGATCAAACCACATTCTGAACTATTTGATGGTGTCGAGAACTTTCTTTTCTAGGTCTTCAGTCATATCCAACTCTCCGTGACCCCATTCGGAGTTTTCTTGGCAAAGACACTAGAGTTGTTTACCATTTCCTTCTCCAGTTCCTTTTATAGATGAGGAACCTGAGGCAAATGGGGTTAAGTGACTTGCCCAGGATCACACAGCTGGTAAGTGTCTGAGGCCAGATTTGAACTCGCGAAGATGAGTCTTCCTGACACTAGGCCCTGTACTCTACCCACTTTGCTACCTAGCTGCCCCATATAAATGCTGGCTATTATTAATAATAATGTAGCTTGAAGTTACATTTTTTACTAGCCATATTACACTGTTGATTAATATTGAGGTTCTAGTCAACAAAAATATTTGTCTTTTTCAGATGAACTACTACCCAAGCAGGTCTCTCCCATCTTGAGCAGTTTTTTTTTAACATAAACCTGGGACTTGACTAGCATCAAGGTTGGATTTGATCTATCTTTCTAGTCTGACAAGATCTTTTGAGGTCCTGATTCTGTCATCCAGCAGATGACATTTCTTCCTCTGCTGTGTCATCTACAAATTGAATGTGTCTTCGTTCAAGTCATTGATAGAGGTCAGATACTTAGAATGTGCCATTACACTACGAACTCATTGGTCAAAGCTCTTGAGATACGGCTGTTCACCTTGCTGTGAATCAGTCACACTGCCTGTATTTCTTTGTCTTGTCCACAAATATATCTATATCAATGAGAAGCCTTGTCAGAGGCTTTCCTGGCATCTAGATGAATTAAGCACATAAATCTCCACTTCCCATCTTCGCTGCTCTTATGTGAACACTCCATTTGTCTCAGGCATAGCTACTCAAAGTTCCCTTTATACATTCAACTCTTTCCTGTTCTCTCCACTCAGACTAATAAGCGCTAAGAGCGTACAGAGAAAGAATCACTGGGGGACAGCTAGGTGACGCAGTGGATAGAGCACCAGCCCTGAAGTTAGGAGGATCTGAGTTTGACACTTACTAGCTGTGTGACCCTGGGCAAGTCACTTAACCCCAATTGCCTTAAAAAAAATAATTACTGAATCTCAGTATAGGGAGGTTCCTCAGGGGCCATCTGGTCCAAATTTTCTCCATTTTTTTTTTTACTAGTTTCTAGATTTCTCAATTCTCTATGTAATCTTTCTGGATCTATAGAAGGAAAAAAGTCAATTGTGCATAGCTGTGGTGGCTAATAATCTCCCTCTCCCCCAAGACAGGTATAACAGGATGAATGTGTTAAGTTGTTAAAATGAATTGCTAGCAATGATAGTGACTTCACCAATATGCTCTTTTCCCAGTCAGTGGCAAAGGCAGTGATGGTGATGAGAATATCTATGGCAGTATAGGATTTTATATTTATAGCAGCATGTTTTTTTTGTGGTAGAAAAAAATCAGAAACAGAACAGATGCCCATTGATTGGTCAATGGCTAAACAAATTGTGTCACATGTGATAGAACATGATAAATATAGAGAAACATGGAAAGATTTACATGATCTGATGAGAGTGAAGTAGACAGAGCCAAGAAAATCACACACATACAAAATGACTTTTGTTGTTCTTCAGTCATTTTCAGTGATGTCTGACTCTTTGTGACCCTATTTGGGATTTTCTTGGCAAAGATACTGGAGTGGTTCACCATTTTCTTCTCCAGCTCATTTTACAGATGAGGAAACTGAGGCAAATAGGGTTAAGTGACTTGCCCAGGGTCACACAGCTAGTAAGTGACTGAGGTAGATTTGAATTCAGGAAAATAGTCTTTCTGACTCCAGGTCTGGCACTGTATCTACTGTGCCACTTAGCTACCCCCTGTACAACGGAAAATATAAATGGAAGAAACAAAATTAAAAGTGAATGTTGCAAAATTACAAAGAACAAGCATGGCCCCAAAGACACTCCCACCCCACTTCTTTGCAGCTCTGGGAGGTTCATGAGTACATGCCCTTTGCAAATATTTTCATATTTTTAAAATTTTAACTGCTGATTTTTTCTTTTTCTCCCTTTAAAAATATTGTCATATGGGATAGCTCTCTGGGAGGGAATGGGTTTGGTGATGTAGGAGACAAAAAGTATCAATGCAAGTATATTAAAAATGGAAAAAAAGGGGCAGCTAGATGGTGCAGTGGATAGAGCATCAGCCCTGAAGTCAGGAGGACCTGAGTTCAAATCCAGCCTCAGATCAAACACTTTAAACTTACTAGCTATGACCCTGGACAAGTCATTTGACCCCAACTGCCAAAGAAAAAAAAGAAATGTAGACTCTTAATAATAGCTAGCATTTATGTAGCACTTTAAATTTACAAAGCATTTTTTACAAATATACCATATACTCACAATAATCCTGAGAGACAGATGCTATTATTATCCCCATTTTACAGATGAGGGAAATGAAGTGGATATTAAGTGACTTGCCGAGGGTCACACAGTTGGATTTGAATTTGAAGTTGGATTTGAACTCAGGTCTTCCCAACTCGAAGTGTAGCACTCTATCCACTTTGACACCTAGATGATGGACCTCGGCACAACTCATTAGCCCCCTCATTTTCCAAATGAAGATAATGAGGCCCAGGGGCTAAAGGCCTTGCCCAACCAAGGTTATACAAGCAATAAGTAGTGGAACAAGGATTCAAGCCTAGGTCTATTGATTCCAAATGTAGTACTCTTTCCATCACACCATTTTTTTGGATGGAGTTTTATGATTAGAAGAGAACTGATTTTGTTTATAGGCAGAAGGCAATGGGGCTACTAGAAAGAAATTTATGATATGGGAGAGATGAAAATTGATGGAGCAAAGGGCAAGGATGAACGTATTATGAATTCTTTGAGGGTAAGGGCTATGTTGTTTTTCATCTTTTATCTCCCATACTTAGCACAGTGTTTCACATATGGTAGGCATTTTCTAAGTGTTTCTTGAATTGAACTGTTCAATTATCCCTGTTAGGGGAACTAGCCAGAAGAGCAATGACTAGAACCCAGGTCAGTCAGACACACGTTAGTGGCACAAAATTTCCATAAAAGATCCTTGGGGATCAAAATCCTGGTCGAGAAGGATCCCTGAAGGATGATGGGATATATTTGGGGCCTGGACAGGTGAGATTTCTCCTCATCCATGTCCCTGGGGCAGCTTTCCCTTCTCTCTCCTTCCTTTCCCATCCAGTCATTCCTACCCTTCCTCCCCACTTCACTCCTCTTTTTCCTTCTCTCCTTCCTCTCTTCTCAATTTCCTCTTCCTGTCCTTCCCTTCCCTTTTTCCTTCTAACATGCTCCTTCTCTCCTCCATTCCTTTCTTCCTCTCTTTCCCTTCATCTTCCCTTTTCCTTCTTCACTTCTCCATCCTCCCTCTCTCCTTCCTAACTTCACTCCTTCCTCCTTGTTCTTCCTTCTCCATTTTCCCTTTCCTCTTTTCCTTTTTCTTCTTTCCTTCTTCCCTCTCACTCCTCTCCTCTCCTCTCCTTTTATTTCCTCTCCCTTTTTTCTCTTCCTTCTCCCCTTCCCCTCTCCTGCTTCTACTTCCAAACACCCTTTCCTCCTCTCTCCTATTTCCTTTAATGCACTTCTTCCTTCCCCCCTTTCTCCCCGTCTTCCTCCCTCCTTCGTCTCCCTTCTCCTTTCCCACTCTTCTTTTTTTCTCCTTCCTCCTCTGTCCTCTCATTGCTAACACCCTCACTGCTCTTCTTCCTTCCCCCTCCCTCTCCTTTCCTTCTTCTCCCCTTCTCTCTCTCCCTTCTTGGTCTGCTCCTCTCCTCTCTTTCCTAGCTCCGTTCTTCTACTGCCTCCCCCTCCTCTGTCTTTCCTTCTTGTCTCTGTCTCCCTCTTCCTTCTTTCCCTTCACTCCGTCCCAGCTCTCACACGTTTACTCCTCCCCCACCTTCCTTCCGTTCTCTTCCTCCATCCTTCCCCTCCTCTTTTCTCAGCTGCTTTCCTCTCCATCCCCTCATCCTCCCTCCTTCTTCCCTCTTTTTCTCTCTCCTTCCTTCTTGGCTCCATCTCAGCCTTCATCCCCCCGCTCTCTCACCCTCCCTCTCTAGACCTCTCCCTTCTGCTCCTCCTCTTCCCCCTCCTCCACGGGAGGGGGCGGGGACTCCGGAGGCTCGCACTTGGGGGCGTGGCTGGCCGGGGTAATGGGGGAGGGAAGGACGAGAACAATGGGCGGAGGCAGGGGAATCGTCCGGAAAGGCGGAAGTCCCGCCTCCCTGGAGCAGCGCATCCGGCTCCGGCTCCCAGGCTAGTGGTGACTGAGCGATCGCAGCCGGGAGGCGGAGGAGCTGCGATGGTGCTGCTGGAGAGCGAGCAGGTGGGGGGCCGGGGCCGGGGCCGGGGGGAAGCCGGGCGGGGATCGGGAGGTGGGGGTGGTGGGAGGTAAGCGCAAAGAGCAGAGCCTCGCCCGGGCTTTCGGCCTGGCCCGACCGGAACCGGGCCGAGCTCGCTGGCTCCCCGGCGGTGGCATGAGGGCCGCCTAACGGGAGCCCGGGCGGGGCGGGTTGTTTTTCCAGTTCCTGACGGAGCTGACCAGGCTCTTCCAGAAGTGCCGGTCGTCGGGGAGCGTGTTCATCACCCTAAAGAAATGTAAGGAGCGTCCGCCGCCCCGCGGGGGGTCGGGGAGCGGGGAAGTACGCACGCGAGAAACTGAGGCGCCGACGTCCAGATTAGCCCAGGCTAGCCCCACTAGAGGCCTGGCCAGCCTCTTCCCCTCTCTCGGCTTTATAAGCCCGAGGCTTTTAAATGCATAAAACAAAATACATGGGATTATGAAGACATCTAGTTATGTTTTTGTTTGTTTTTTTGCCAGGCAGTTGGGGTTAAGTGACTTGCCCAGGGTCGCACAGCTAGTACGTGTTGTGTGTCTGAGACCGGATTTGAACTCTAGGCCAGAGCTCTATCCACTGCGCCACCTAGCTGCCCCTCTAGTTATGTTTAAAGGGGGAACCGATGACCTGAGATGGACGCCTGGGCCTTGGGGCAGTCATCCGTGGGCCCCTCCACTCCAAGGCCTTCCAGCTCCAGATCCCCCGAGTGGAGGCGGCAGGGGAAGTGCTGGCCAGGGTCCATCCTCTGCAGTGGGAGCGGGCCCAGCGATGGCTCCAGAGCCGTGCTGGGGGCAGAATGAAGCGCTCAGCTGTTTTGATCGATTTCCCTTTTTGAGCTGGCCCAGCATTGGTTAGCTATTGCTGAGGTGCCTTGTTTTTCAGCCACCGAAGACCCTGTTCTCTCAGGGCTCTTGCTTACCTTTTTCTCCCTTTTCCTTTTTGTTTGCCTTCACAGGGTGCCTCTCACCTAGGGCAGAAATTTTTATGGCCTTTATTTGATTCTGTCATAGAGATTGAATCTCTTGTTGCCATCTCCACTTACTGGATATTGACTGAAGAATTAGGCTTCTGGCATAGTATAGGTACATTCCTGAATTGGGATGGTATTAACTGTATAACTTACTAAGATTCCATTTAGTCTTGAGATTTTTTTTTTTGACAAGAATTTTTTTTTCTTTAATGCAGATGATGGTCGGACTAAACCCATTCCACGGAAAGGGTCTGTGGAAGGCTTTGAGCCTTCAGACAATAAGTGTTTGTTAAGAGCTACTGATGGGAAAAAGAAGATCAGCACTGTGGTGAGCAGGGACTCTGGGGAGCTAGGTGCAAGGGGGGCATATTTATATCTTAAAATTGGAAATATTCAGGATAGGAACTGTCAGATCCATATTTCATACTTAGGATTATCTTCAAGAATTGTTCAACATTCAGTTACTCAGGGATGAGTTAGGTATGACAAATTATAATTTGGTTGGTTTCTATGCCACCTCATACTACCTAGAGTACCAGAAAAGTAAGTAGAGAGGAAGGTGAAATGAAATTTCCCCTTTGCTTTTCCAAAAGGTTTGTGGGGAAGTAGAGTATCAATAATTTTTCTTGTCCCTAGGAGCAGTTAATAGAAAGATGGTACAAATACTCTTTATGCCACTACTATGACTTGTCATCATCAGCTTCTCAGTGCCTAATTGATATTTCATTTGGCTGTGGCCTGTGCCCTTGTATTGCTTGTGATAAAGAATAGAATTGCTCTTAATGGTTTTTCTTTCTAATAAGGGTAGAGAGTGAGGTATTACAGGAGTCAGTGAATACAGAAGTACTATTTTATTTGCTGCACCAGAATCTCTGATTCACTTAGTTATTAGCTTACTATGTATAAAGCTCATTTATTAACTTTCTCCCTTTACTACCCTCAACACTGGCACATAAAAGGCTTGGGTTAATTTGATTCCTCTTTACCCAGTATAAAATACTGCCTTTTCATTGGCTCTTTTGAGAATGTTCCAAAAATCAAGTGAAAAGAGATGCCAAGTGCCCAGGAAGCTGGCTTTGCCCGTTGCTTGGTGGGGTAAAGTTGGGCTGTTGGAATTCTTCAGATTTCCTTACTCCACAGTACTTTACTCTGAGGTAAAAAGCTGCATTGCACTTGTGTCCCAGTGTTTTCCTTTTAAAGAAGAAACGGAAGGGACATGTGGGACTTTGCTTCTGAAGGCAAGTTGCGTGAGGAAAGGAGTTTGTTTTGTGTAGTACCTCCATACATTTATAGCCTAAGATACTTTGTTTCATATTCTACCATGAAGCTGTCCATTATAGAAGACTTTAGGCATCTGTCTCTAAGACCTTTTTCCCCTCAGTCTTTAATTAGAGTCAGAAAAGATCCTAACAATAAGACATTGGGAACCCACCTCCAAGGAGAATTGAAGGGTAAAGAGCTATTTGGTTTTCAAATATAGCAGGTGAGGAAAGCCTCCCCTTGCAGCATTTCCTTGTTTCCTTGACCTTAGCTAGGTACACTATTAAAACACAGCTCTGTGAAGTTGGGGACAGATGTTTACGTTTGGGGTATGCTGCCCCCATGAGGACTTTGATGGTTCTTGTATGGAGAGAAGAGGTAATTGATTTATTTATGTTTTTTAGGTGAGCTCTAAAGAAGTGAATAAATTCCAGATGGTAAGTTTCTGATGTTCACTGGGTCTTTCCAGCTTTTTTAGTAAGTAAAATTGAAGGTTAAGTCTAGGCATCTAACTCTACTAAAATAACAAACTGGAGTTAATACAGTCCTAGGAAGGGCAATTTTAATTTCCATTTTACAAACGAGGCTGTTTAATGTGAATAGTGGTATTGAATGCAGAACGTAGCTTTATCTCTTTTGCTTTTTTCCTGTCAGAGTCAGCTTGGATTTGACCTGTCATCCTACTAATACAGTTTTGTAAACAATGAAATGTAGGTAAAGTGCTTGGCATGTCTTTTAAAAGCACTATTTTAAACGTCAACAATTATTTGCTGGCTTTGCCATAGGAATTGCATAATAACAAAATAAGGTCAGTAATTGTCTTGCTTGGGGTGAGTAGGAGATGAAAAGTTGTCATAATATAAAAGCACAGGGACTGTCCTTTGCAGAACCAGAGGGAAGGTATATTCTGATACATTCTTTCTCTCCTAATGGTTCTCTTATCTCCTCTACTGGACGACTTCCTTGTCTGTAGACGCATGGTGGCCTAATCAGGTGTGCTCCCTTTTCTACTGAAAGCTATGCCTTGTGTTTTACAGGCCTATTCTAACTTGCTGAGAGCCAATATGGATGGGCTAAAGAAGAGAGACAAGAAGAGCAAGAACAAGAAGAGCAAAGCAACACAGTGAGGGATGCTTGGATTCCTGTTTTATTCCAGCTTTCAGCAGAACTCTGAAGATGCTCTGCTGGTGGTACTGGCTTCTCTTAGCGCTGAATGGCTTCATGTGTAGGGGAGGGGGGGTTGCTTTAGTGACAGATCTTCATTCAGTTAATTGCAGGCTTAATGTTTACAGGGGCAGCTGTGATTTTGAAAAAAAAAAAGGCCTGCCCAAGTTATGTATGTGTGTGTGTGTGTGTGTGTATATATATATATATATTATATATGGCATCCACCCAGCCTCACCCCCTCTACACTTTGTAGGATACCTGACCTATGATTTGTTGAAGTCACTTTAGAGAGCTTTGTGAACAGAGCAATGTATTATTAAATCTGTTGATATACCTTTCTTGATTGCCTTTACCTGTTGGGTTATTTTTTAATCACCTTTGGTTTTGCATGAGGAATGAGAAAGCTTTTAGCATGTCCTCAGGGCTGATGGTGACAGAAGCTGGCAGTTTTTTGAATAGAATGTGTAGTGTTAGGTTAGGGTTGTTTTTTGATACGTCTGAGGTGTTTATGAAGTTTTTAAGTCTTGTTAATGAACCATTTAAATTAATTTAACACAATTCACTGAAAAAGTGACTATATGGTAGTTCATTTTCCAAATCCAAGAAGCATAGCTTTTAAGGTACAACTAATCAATTTTAAATTTTTCCTTGATATTAGCATTCTTTGTTTGCACTGAATATACTCAGTTCAATAGAATCTTTGAAATCCAAACCTTCAGTTGTTATACTTCCCAGGTCCCCAGAAAGCAAGCTCAGAATGACAAGAAGTTCAGCTAGTTATATCTTTGGATGCTTCATTTCTCTTTTGTTAAGTATAAAAACCATATCCCAAACTGATGGCAGCTAGGTGGCCCAGTGGATAGAGTGCTGGGCCTGGAGTCAGGAAGACTTATCTGCATGAGTTCAAATCTGGCCTTAGACACTTACTTGGCTGTGTGACCTTAGGCAAGTCACTTAATCCTGTTTGCCTCAGGTTTCTCATCTGCAGAATGAGCTGGAGAAGGAAATGGAAAACTCCTCCAGTATCTTTGCCAAGAAAACCCCAAATGGGGTCATGAAGAGTTGGGCATGACTGAAACAACTGAACAACAACCCAAACTCAGCAAAGCATGTAGTAGAAAGAATACTGTACTTAACACACTCAGATACTTATACAAGTCGGTTAACTTCCAAGGTGCAATTTCTTCGTCTATAAAGTGGAGATAAAGATAGCACCTCTTTCACATGGTTGTATTCAGTCTGAGAATAAGTAAATTGATTAGATACTATAACCTACTACAACTGTAACTTAAAGGTTACTTCATACATCCAATCTCCAGGGATATAGAAAGAGCTATTGTGCTTTGATTTGTATGTAGATATCCTCTTTCCCCATCCCCTCTGCAAGCACAGCAGGCAGATTTATCAAAAACATTTATTAAAGTCAAAAAGTTTAGCAGACTTCTAATATATACACTGTAAAATGTTCAGTTTAAGATTTATCCAAAATTACAATGACTATACAGCATTCTATATTACAGCATAAGCTTCTGTCTGGTTTGAACACTACTATGTACAATTCACATGTCCTGTGCAATGAATTCTTCATACTTAAAACAAGATTCTGTAGTAGTCATCTCTGTAACTATATAGGAATAACATCGACACTCTGCAGGAGAAAGAAAGTCTTTAATTAGAGGTGGCATAGATAAAAACAATGGTTCAAGAGATGAAGAAGGAAAGCCTTTAGGTTCTATTTAGGAAAGTAAATTTATCTGTAAGAGTGTTTTTCCAACAAAAATATGGAAAGTTAGGTGCTAACTAAATTTTCTGGGCAAGTGAAATGTCATCATTTGTTTCACACATTTCATTTCTGCCTTTAAAGGTGATGGGGTGAGAAGGTAATATTTCTCTATTGGGACTTTAAAGCAAAGGTCAATTAGTCTCATTTTCTAGACATGAAGCAGCAGAGCTCATAGCTATTTCCTCCTAATTTAAACACTAGAATTCTATAAATGGGTCACCTGGGTGAATAAATTTATAATGGGGACAGTTGATCCTTGCCTTTTTATGCTTTGTCATTAATAAGGTCATGGCTGAAGATGAGACCTGATAGATGGCCTTAGGCAGGCTTCATTGGCTGCCAGGTGGCAGAACTCTTCAGTAGGCTTATTCCCCATCATCCTGACAGGATAATGAGGTGCTGCTACAGAGAGAGGGAAATGAAGCTTCAGGGAAGATAAACTAGCATGGGATGGTTTTAATAGCTTACCTGCTTGAATTCTGACATGTGTGAAACCTGTTGCTGCTAACCAGATAACTTACTTTTTTTCAATTTTGATGTTGTAAATTTCATCACAGACTAATTTGAGGTATCTCTGCTTTGGCAGGCGTGACAGTAGCTGCTTCACAGTTGTATTAAAGGCCTGTTCATCACCATCCCACTAGGGGAAAACAAAGATAAGACTTTTTAAACAGCAGGGCACACTTAGGTTTTTTGTTGTTTTTTTTTTAAACTGGAGAAGGATATGGCTCTTCCTAGGCATCACTAATGGGATTTACTAGTACTCTTCCAAAGACCAAAGTACCTACAGAGAAACCATACAGCGGTAAGTATTAAAATCTGTAAGGGGCTGCTCTGACTCTTAGAAGGATGACTCCATGTACTTTTAGAATAAAAATGCTGTACACCACTTCATTAACATCATAGGCCCTTTGGTGTCATCCAGTTCACTCCTACTTTGGGAATGTATACCAGCTATCACTGTACTACCGTGATGATCTTGGGAAAATTATTTTCTGCTCCTCTTTGACTATGTGTGACAGATGCCACTTTCATAATATATTAGTGGCAAATGAATGATCCATTTACCAGTATAGAACCAGTAAGATGGCACTAGAAGCAAGCACATGGATCCATTTTCAGTTTCCAGGATAAACACAGATAAATGACATCTCTGGTATCAAGTATTTTGGGCAGGTGAAACCTGTAATTTTGAAGTAGTCATTTATTCTATTATAATACATTAACTATAGCTGGGGCTATATGTGATTAAGGGGCTCTACTGGCTATTCAAGTATATGTTTGAAAGAAAATAGATGCATGTAAGATTCCAAAATTAAAACGGGGAAGGGAAGACATGTGACTGATCATAACTGTAACTAGGGATTCTAGCACCTGGAGCAAACTCACTTCAGGGTGGGGAGATGGCAAGGGGAGAGAGAAGAGTCCTCAAGGCCACCACTGGGAAGGATGCCATGCACCACTGTTCCCAGGAGTCTCATACTAGTTATGGTTGTTAATATTCTAAAACAAAAGACATTCTCATTAATCTTCAATTGGTAGTGGCTCTTGGCACTCTGCTCCTTCCTATTAGGAGGAGAAAAATGTTTGAAATTATTCTATTAATACATAATTTAGGAACAAATCTTTTCTGTAAAGGGAAGGTTTGCCAGTAATCTCTACAAATTCCCAGGTTTAGAAAATTAACATCACTAAGGAAAACTAATTTCAATTTGGTCCATTAATTGCAAAAACTACTCAACCTTTTGTAATTTAAAGTTTGGCTCTTTCTAAGCCAGTACTTAGTTATGGCAGACTCTGTGTAGCTTACCTCTAGTGACAAAAACTGCAAAATTGTTTCTTTTGGCAGGTCTACCTGTGAAAAGGGAAATAAATAATAAAGTTTGCATAAGGGGATTTGATGGAACAATTTTGATCAGCTTAATTGATATTTGTATTATACACTATCACCAAAGACAACTTGGAAATCATTGTTCAAGTCTGTGGGATGCTGTTATGTTTGGAAATGAAATGTCAACTGTATGAGGATGAGACTTCAGCTCTGGGTCCCCACACTAATAAATCATAACTCCCTCCTCACCACCTCCCTGCCCAAAAGGGGGACTGATTCTAATACATGTACATATGTAGACTTTAGATTTAAAGGCCTACCTAGAAAACTGCAGAAACAAAATGGAGATTTTCAGAGGATATTATTATAATTCCCCCTCCCCCCCATTTTTGGGTTGGGTTGGGGAGGAGAGGAAAAAACCTTTTTCTTTTGATATTTCCCCCCAAGCCTTCACATTTTCTGTATCGTTTCATGCTCTAATTTTGTATAAGGTTGACAGTGAAAATCATGTAAGAATACAAACTATTTATATTGAGCTAAAAGCTAAGCTCTGAGAATTTTGCTCTTACAACAATATCAAAGGAAAGGACTTACAGCCAGAATTTCAATTTCACTGCTCTTATGGTGGAGGTTGGCAAGGGCAGTCTGGAGTCTTGTTTGCACCTATAACAAGAGATTACTGAATTCAGAACATGTAGAAGCAAGACATCTTCCTGTTGTTTGTCTGCAAACCAAACATTAGGGTAGGGGTTCTTAAACCTGGGGTCTATTAATTTTTTTTTTTGACATTTAATTTTTACTTTTTTTTCCTCAATTACATGTAAACAAAAAAATTTTAAGTTTTTTTTAAAAATTCCAAATTCTTTCCCTCCCTTCCTCTCTCCCTAAAAAGGCAAGCAATTTGATAAGAGAGTATACCTGTGTAGCCATTACTCATGTGACAAAAGAAAATGCAGACCAAAAAATCCAGAATAATTGTTTAAAAAGTATGCTTCAATCTGCATTCAGACTCTATCAGTTCCTTTTCTGGAGGTGGCTAGCATTTTTCACCATAAGTCCTTTGGGATTGTTTTGTATCTTTGTACTGCTGAAAATAGTTGGGCACATAATTGTGCAAACAGCTCCTAATAATTGCTTTAATTTCGTCTTCATTAAGGGTGAATTCACCCTTTTCATTTTGATACTGGTAATTTGGTTTTCTTTTTTAATCAAATTAATCAATGGTTTTAATGATTTTTTCCCTTAAAACCAGCTTAGTTTTATTTATTAATTTAGTGGTTTTCTTTAAAATTATTACTGTCTCTCTTGGTTTCAGGATTTCCAATTTGGTAGTTAATTGGGGATTTTTAATCTGTTCTTTTTCTAGTTGTTTTTTTTTTTAAGCTGCATGCCCAATTCACTGATCTGCTCTTCCTCTATTTTATTGATGTAAGCATTTAGAGATACAAATTTTCCCCTAAGTACTGTTTTGGCTGCATCCCATTAATTCCGGCATGTTGTCTCTTTGTTTATATTCTCTTTAATGAAATTACTTACTGTTTCTATGATTTGCTCTTTGACCCAGCTCAGATCTTTTCATCAGGAATGCTTGAAAATCTTCTATTAATATCCATTTTTTCCCTTGAAGAATTGTACTCAGTTTTGCTGGATAGGTTATTCCTGGTTGTAATCCTAGCTCCTTTGCCTTCCAAAATATCATATTTCAAATCTTCCAATCCTTTAATGTGGAAGCTGCTAAATCTTGTGTGATCCTGATTGTGGCTTCACAATATTTGAATTGTTTCTTTCTGGTTGCTTGCCATATTTCTCTTTGACCTGGGAACTCTGGATTTTGGCTATAATTATTTTGGGAGTTTTCATTTTGGGATCTCTTTCAGGAGGTAATTGGCAGATTCTTTCAATTTCTATTTTACCCCCTGGTTCTAGGATATCAGGGCAGTTTTCTTTGATAATTTCTTAAAACGTGATGTCTAGTGAACTGAAATGCAGAGTGAAGTCAGAGGAACATGGTACAGCAATATTATATGATGATCAACTGTGAATGACTTAGCTATTCTTAGCAATACGATGATCCATGACAATTTCAAAGGACTCATGATGAAAAATGCTACCCATATCCAGAAAAAGAGTTGATGGAGTCCAAAAGTGGATCGAAGTATGTATACTATCTTGAACTATGGGTTTTTTTTCCCCATTCCCTTTTGGTCTTCTTGTTTTTTTCACAACATGACTAATATGGGAATATGTTCTATCTGATTGCACATATTTAACTTATATCAAATTGCATTCTGTCTTGGGGGGGGAGGTGAGAGGGAGTGAGAACATTGAGAACTCAAAAATTTTTTTTCCAATTTTTTAACATTTTTATTTAAAGTTTTGAGTTCCAAATTCTATCCCTTCCCTCTCTTCCCTCCCTCTCCCCTGAGAGTGTAAGCAATCAGATATAGGTTACACATGTGCAATTATGTAAAACATTTCCATATTAGCTATTTTGTACAAGACAACTTGAATAAAAGAAAAAAAATGGGAAACAGCATGCTTCAGTCTGTATTCAATCAGTATCAGTTCTTTCTTGGGAGGTGGATAGCATGCTTCATCATTAGTCCTTTGGGATTGTCTTGGACCATTGTATTGATGAGAATAGCTAAGTCATTCACAGTTCTTTGTTCTCTTGATTCTGTTCACTTTGCTATGCATCAGTTCATTTAAATCTTTCCAGGTTTTTATGAAATCATCTAGCTTGTCATTTTTAGCACAATAATATTCCATTATAACCTTATACCACAACTTGTTTAGCCATTCCCCAATTGATGGGCATCCCTTTGATTTCCAATTCTTATCTACCATATAAAGAGCTGCCATAAATATTTCTGTACAATTAGGTCCTTTCCCCCTTTTTTTGGATGTCTTTGGGATATAGACCTACCAGTAGTATTTGCTGGATCAAAGGGTATGCACAGTTTTATAGCCCTTTGGGCTATAATTGCTCTTCAGAATGGTTGGATTAGTTCACAACTCCACTGACAGTATACTAGTGTCCCAGTTTTTCCACATTCCCCCCCCCATCTGACATTTTCCTTTTTCTGTCATTTTAGGTGATAGGTATGAGGTGGTACCTCAGAGTTGTTTTAATTTGCATTTCTCTGATGAATAGTGATTTAGAGCATTTTTTAATATGACTATAGATAGCTTTGATTTCTTTGTCTGAAAACTGCCTGTTCATATCATCTGACCATTTATCAATTGGGGGGGAATGACTTGTATTTTTATAAATTTGACTCAATTCTCTATATATTTGAGAAATGGGGCCTTTATCAGAGATACTTGTTGCAAAATTCCATCCCCCACCCCCCACCCCCAGTTTTCTGCTTTCCTTATAATTTTGGTTGTATTGGTTTTGTTTGTGCAAAAACTTTAATTTTATATAATCAAAATGATCTATTTTACATTTTCTAATGCTATTCATATCTTCTTTGGTCCTAAATTCTTCCCCTATTCATAAATCTGAGAGAGAAACTATTCCATGCTCTCTTAATTGCTTATGATATCATGCTTTATGTGTAAATCATGTACCCATTTTGACCTTATCTTGGTGTATGGTGTGAGATGTTGGTCTATACCTAGGAACTCAAAATATTTTAAAAAATGAATGTCAAAGATTGTCTTTATATTGGGAAAAATAAAATACTCTCTTAAAAAAAAAAATGTATGAGGTCTTTTTGTGATCATAGCTCAAACACATTTCTTCTATTTCTTCATTCTTTTGATTTTGTTTTATTGTTTCTCATGTCTCCATGAAGTCACTAAGCTTCCACTTTCCCAATTTTAATTTTTAAGGAATTATTTTCTTCAGGGAGCTTTTGTACCTTTTTCCATTTGGCTATTTATTTTATTTTTGGTGAGGCAATGGGGTTAAGTGACTTGCCTGGGTCATGCTGCTAGTAAGTGTCAAGTGTCTGAGGCTGGATTTGAAC